ATGTCTATATGTCTGGCTGCTTTAGTGGGACTGCTCCTCTGTAATTGTCAGCTGTCAGTTCAACTATGCTGATGTTAGACCCAAGCATCATGTGAGCAGATGCACATGATAAACTGAAGCCACCTCACACTTCAGGTGATTGACAGAGTTCACTGGAGTGTGATCTGATTGGTATGTCACAAGGCTTTAGAGTTGGTTTGAGTATAGAATAGTGTGAAGATAAACTTTAGCTTAAAGCTGGAGATTACCAGTGAGAGTGAGCCTGCTTAAATACTGTTTAAGTTGCAACTAATTATACTACTTTCTATTATATATTGTCAAGTCCTTTGTGCCCATTGTCCTTGGGCATCATTACTGTACATAAAAGAGTCTTTGTGTGTTGTTGGGTGATGCTGTTGCATCAAAAGACAATGACAGACTTGGCTTGTTGTGATGACTAAGCTTTGTCCTATGGTCTTATGTGCTCATTCTGATGCTCTGACTAAGCATAAATAGGGGTTAATTGTGGATAATAGAAGGAAAATAAAGAAAAATCATAACAGCTGAGCATCCACTGATTCTGTTCTGATTCCAAAAGCAGTTCACCCAGTTCACCCCCACACAATGTGATCACAATCCTAGAATATCTTTCCCCATTAAAGTTCAAGGCCACAGCATGAGGGCTGCATTCAAGTGCTATACTCCTGAATGCTGGTAAGACAAGGCATTGGATGACAGCAGAGAGGAGATGAGAATGAATCAGCTTTCCCTTTTGTGATTAACAGTTGGCTCAGGTCCGAGTCAACAAGTTTTTATCATTGCTGCACCTCATTGGCATTAGGATGGATATTCTCCTTTCAGGACAGTCACCCTTCACAGCATAGCTTATTGCATTCTCAAGTGCCAGATGCTCTTTTATAAGGATTATTGGCAGAAGAACACATCTCACACTATATCAGTCTGGAGACTATCATCTCCTTGCAAAACATGAGATTCTCCATGTTGCTGAAATGGAATTTGGTGGTGACAGTGGTTTCAAGAGCATCAGTCATAGCTACAGGTCAAAAGTCAGAGCAGGCATGCACTACCTGATTTGGCATCTTATTGGGCATCTCATATGCTCAGTAGGAGAGTGGCTCATCTAAGAAAGTGATGTGCATTTATAGTACCTAGTAGAATACACTGTTAGATATAATGTAGACTACAGGATATTAGTCAGTAAGATATACAAAGTAGTACAAGTATATACTCACCCTCACACAGTGCAGCAATAAGCAGAAATGCAGTGAGGGTGCTCAACAGACTGTATTTAATATACATTATCCATCCTAACATAAAAGGGTATCAGGCTCAGCCAGCAGGATATGATGGAGCTCCTGCTTGCTAGTCCAACACTCCTCCTCAAGCAGAGTGAAGTCCAAGCTCAGTAGCAAAGTCTTTCACCTTGGCTGAAGATAAAGGCTTGGTGAGAGTGTCAGCAACCACATCCTCAGTGGGACAATAAATGAGATGAAGGGAGTCTTCATTGATGATCCAGAAAATGAAGTGGAAGCAAATGTTGATGTGCTTGGTTCAAGCATAATACTGATGATCTTTCAAGAGTGCAATAGCAGACTGATTGTCTGAGAATAAAGTTATAGCCTCAGTAATCAGTGAGAAAACTTGAGAGAGCAGACTGTGAAGCCAGAGTGCCTCCTTCAATGCATGTGTTGCAGCTACACATTTAGACTTGGTGGTTGAAAGTGAGATGATCTCCTGCTTTTTAGACAACCATGAAACAGCTCCACCATTCAGCATAAAGGCATACCCAGTAATGGCATGCCTATTCTTGGCCATGCTCTCATCAGCATTCACATATCCATGCAAAACCCTTCTGTTTCTCCCAAACATCAACTAGTAATCCCTCATGTCCTTCAGGTAGCAAAAGATGTGCTTTACAGCCCTCTAATGGGCCTCTGCAGCAGCTATTGAGTATTCCAAGACTGTTGTCATGGCAAATGTGATTTCAGAGTGTGTCCCAAGCATAACTCAGATTAAAGAGCCAACAGACTCCCTGTAAGAGACATTTCTCATGGCTGCAATTTCTCAGGTAGAGGCTGATGCAGGAGAGAAAGACAAGTAGAGATTAATATCTATTGGTGTAGAGACTGGCTTGAGGTCTTCAAAGCCTTAGCAACAAACAATGGAATTGATGTACAAGCATTGGAAAAGGGAAATAGAGCATGATTCATGGTCATATGTGATCTCAATGCTAAGAACTCAGTGCAGCTCTCCCAAATCCATGACTTCCATGTATTTTGCCATTCCTTCCTTTACCTCTCACACTAGATGCAATGATGATGCTGCAATAGTGCAATCATCAATATGGACAGCAATGACAGTCAAGTATCATCAACCAATCTTCCTCTCCCTCTTCCTCAAACTTGAGAGGTTCATTTTTTTCATTGAAAACTGATAACTGAACACCAACAGGTACTATAGAATCACTTGGACATGCTGATACACTATCTTTGCCAGAGATGAGATCCAGCACCTGCTGGCTAGGCTTTCAAGTGCATCCAGAACAGGTTTCTTCAACTATGGGTTGGACTGCAGGCTGAGCTTCAGGGGTAGGTGACATCTGTGATAGCTTTGTAGTAGGTGGATTGGACTGAGATTTTGGCATTGACAGAATCTTGTATAGTTCAATGTCTTCCTCCTCTTCAAGATCATTGGTGGCAATATGAATAGAAAATTTCACTTGATGAACACCATCTTGCTCTCTGTCCAGTAGACATGGGATCCATTGTTTGTTTTATCGAATCCAATCCACTGACCCTCATGTATGCAGCAACCCAGCTTCATAGCCTTAGTCTCAAGGCATACCCAGCAATTCTTTCCTCATTTCTACATCTCTTTTAGATCTGGCTTCTTTTCTGTGACAGTCTCATAAGGGGTCATCCCATCCAGAGCCTACATTGATGTTCTGTTGAGAACCCAGACAGCATGACACACAGCCTCAGCCTATAGAAAGCAAGGTAAGCCATTTGAATGCATAGCCCTGACCTTTTCAATCACTGTGTGATTATATCTTTCAGCCACCTTATTATGCTGTGATGTATCATGCACAGTCATCTTTCTTGCTATGCCAGCAGTTTTCAGTTTTCAGATGCAAGATAAATGCTTTGTCAAAGTACTCACCTCCATGGTGATACATATTGTATTGGGCTAGCCCTAAAATTTGTGAATTTTAAACAGTATATTCACATAAGCTGAAGTCTGTATGGCTAGTCATTCAAGAGCTATAGCTGAGGCTCCAAGCTGATAGTCATGCTATGCTAAGAAGGCTAAGGATCAATGTGGACTTAGCCAAAACAACTTTGCATTGGGTTAATAACCTTGAAGTCAAGACTGGACTTAGAGGGATGACACCACTATGGTAGAATACCAAGTCAATTTGGACTTAGAAATGGTACCATATTTGAGCCAATTCTACATGCCATCAGGGCTGATATACCATAGTCTAGCTCAGGAGTTTATTACCATGACTAGCAGTGAAGTACATTCAGCTAGCACCCAAACCAGAAGTAAAAGCAAAGTGGAACTCATTAGCCTATGGCTAGCACATCCAGCCTGATGTAAAATGCATGCAGTGAGAATTCCTCAGGCATGAATAATTAAAGGGACACATAGCTCAGGGAATGAGCCACAACCAGGGAGCTCAGCTGCCTCAGATCACTATGATTGATCAATTGATCATGATCAATAGTGAGTCCAGAAGTAACAAGCAGAACCATAGGATGATCAATTATATAGTAAATAATCACAGGCTATAGGAATGAGGCACTGGAGGAGTCCTGGAGCATCTCAAAAGAATATATGAGGCATGCCAAGGCAGGATAACAACCTAATTTTGGGACTAGTGAAGTAAAATGAGTAACTAGACTAAATTATTTATAGATTCTATATCAGTTAGTTATGTATAAAAGCAGGACAAAGGGGAATCATGTGGGAGGCAACCCACCCCTGCAATTTAGGCATTCTAGCTCTCAGTAGTTAGTCTTTGTATCAGTGGTTTAGTGTGTAACCTCAACCTGGATAGCCATTGTTACTAAGTCATCTGTATTGAATAAGAAGTTGAAGTCTTTACCAGACTTTAGGTTTTGGCATAATTTGGGTTCTGGCTTAATAAGGGTTTCAGCATCTGAGTATCAGTTCTCTGGTTTTAAGGACTGCTAGCTAGCCACAGGTGCAGCTAGCTAAGTTTCAGTGCTTGAGAGACTTGGTACTGGGTTTCAGAGTTTTCTAAGTTAAGCTGGGCACCATGGCTCTGCAGTTTAAGTCTCAATTCACATACCATGTTTTACTCATACCCCCTTTGTGAGTATTTCATCTTAGGACACAAATTAGCCCAGAATAAACTGCCTTTATATCTTCATATTTGATTTATCTGAGTCTGCAGAGTGCTTCTATCATACTCAAACTGCCTGAACTCACACATATTGGTGATCATGCATTGAGTGGTTAGGTGTTGGTGTTTGAGAGTTCATTCTTCATTCACCTCTCTTAGTCACTTAGCTGTTTCTCAGCACATCAGTGCAATCCAAAACCTCTTATCAAATTGAACTAGAGTCCCTCACAAGCTTCTGTGCCTCACTCAGTTCTCAAATCTCTCTTAATGATATCAATAATTAGTCTATTCTCTTTCCTACAGTCACAAATGCAAACCCAGAGCCAGGGTGCAAGGCTTTCTGTGCCCAATACACCACAACTGTGAGGGGTTGGAAACTTGTATTCTACTCATACAATGTGGTATTTAAATACTCTACTCTGGGTGTGTTATAGAGTCTATATATATTAAGAAACTGTCAAACACCCTGCTCTACAAATTTCCATGGAATCTCCCCCAGCTGACCTTTCTCCAGAAGATAGGAAACTCATATTTCGCAGTCTTGACCTAAATCTGAATCATACAATTCTGGAATCATTATTGCAGGGTGACGCCGTTATTCTTGGTGCTTCTCTTCTATTAAAGTTCATATATGGTCATAGGCTTGTATACCCTTCTCGTAGCAATCACTCTATGGACCATATGTTCGTCTCTCTTCTTCGATTGACCCATAGGCTAATCTAATGTCTCATCCAGTTTCCTCTCCCAAGAAATCCGGACATACCTTCCTGCCTACAGTCATTTTGATTCTATACATTCTCACGACAATTTCTTATGGGTTTGACTGGGCGTACCAGCGGCGCGCATTCATTGAGAACGGGGACAACTTTTTCAGTATCTTTGTTGCGCTCCAGAGTATCAGCCCGTGGTGGAGAGCATACGAACTCGTTGATGGTATTAGCGGTGGTATGAGCACATTTCTCGTCGACATCACCATTGTATGCCTTCTCTTCTTTCTTCGTCAGTCTAAGCTTACATACATCTCTTAGGTATGGCGTTGTTGGGTGCTTTGGGACCGTCAATGGAGGATTGTCCTTATACCAGCTCTTTGCACGGTAGCCGGGACAAGTAAGTGCCCTCATAGCTGTCATTACTTGCGGTCTGATCAAAGATCGTAGTCGCAAAGGCCATGCAAATCCGTAGTGTTTTCATCAACACAACCAGCGAAATCGGCGACACCGGAGGCTTCGTAGCAGAGATCAACTGGCCACTGATCTATATCTCCTTGACACTGGCCACGACACTCCTGTGTACCCTATTGATCGTCTACCGCATCGTTCGCCTGGCATCAGGAGTGGGCTCATACGGGAAGATTGTCGAGATTGTGATTGAATCCTCAGCGATGTATTCACTGACACTGATTGTGTACCTGGCCCTGGTTGCGAGAAATCTGCAATCGGGCTATTATGCAGATATCATTATGGCATATATCAAGGTGAGGGGCCGCTGTGCGTGCTTTATTCTTTCAAGGAGCTGAAATTTCTGTGCCACGGCAGGTCATTGCACCTACGCTCCTCGTTGGACGAGTCTCAGCCAGTTCGAATTCAAGCTCTAACAGTCAGACAATAGTCCATTCCACAAAGGACCGTAGCTCTGTGTTGAGCAGATTCATAGCAAGAAGGCGAGAGACGGCTTCCATTTATCGGAATGGCAACGATTCCACTACCTCGTCGCAGACTTATTATAAGCCGAGGATGGATAATGTCTAATACTGAAGCCTGCGGCATTGACAGTGGTTATTATTACACTTTGTAAATTAAGATTACGTTACCTGTGAGCGATCCTTGATATTAATAGAATGCAATGTAGCCTGGAACAATTATCCTTTTATTTCCGTCTATTCAATCAGAACCACAAGGAGTCTTGTTATAGACGAATATGATCACATTTCCCCTCTTCAGATCTTCTGTAGCCGAACTAGCCGGTTGGCAAACTTTGGACTCGAATGCTGTGAACCTATGCCGCCGATGACGCCACCAGCCTCTGAACACTACGACCTACGACTATGATGAGCCCCGACAATCCCCATACGAGAGCGAGCATCAAATTGCCTGGGTTACGTGTCTATCAGCATTAGCTTCTGTTTGAAGAGAAGAGAGAGGCATACTACGGGAAGTCACTGTAAAGCGCTTCACGTTTTCTGCTTAGGAAATTAAGGTGAAACTGCGAAAAGAGATACCGTAATAAATGATGTACCCTAATAAGGATACGGATCGATTGATATATCCGGACGATACCTGAGTTGTGTTGGTCCCCAACCTCCCTTTAGAAGCGATGGAGCCAAATGGTTCAAATCCGCCACTGATTTTGTTTCCCACCCTAGCTTCAGAGATGTTTGAATGAATCTACGTTGAAGCGCAAAGTGAAATGAAGGAGTCTGCTGCAATGCAATGAGGATGCACACCACAGTATTTTGGCTATGCAAAAGTTACGCACTATTATGATGCTCAAGATGAGTAATTGATGAGTAAATTGGTCGCGGATATCACTTATGCTCAATGGCCTATAATTAGCTGCTGGCAGTTCCCTTGCCGTCGCTAACGGATCTTCGGAAAACCTGACGAAGCGAAGATACCGTGGTCGCCAGTCGGCGGTGATTGGAAGATATTCGGAGCCCTGGCACGGTCCGGTGCCTCCGGGATCACGTGTTGCATGGCCGGAGATGCCTGCTTGTCCGTAGCTGCAACTGAGACCATCGCTAGCCGTTGCCGATTCCTAGCGATACGGTTCCAATATGTCTTAACTTGCGAAATTTTGTCGTACAAGCGCTCATTTTATCAGACTTCTGTCATTCTATTTGTATTCTCGGGGACTTCGTATATCGTGGGACGCCCTTGTAACTAAACAGAATGAGTTTCATATCGAAGTCTACGCCATGTCAAGAAACGCATCAAGGGCCTTTTCAGGATCATCCCAATGCACCTAATAAAGGCAGCATAAGTTCGGGATGTACGACGATATTACTCCACGGACAGACACGCACAAAATGATTAGCCCCTTTGATAATCTTGTGATGGAATTCCTTCGCACCCGCTCCCCTTAGCTTCTTCGAATCGTCCTGCACAGCCCACAAGCCAGCAATACCAAAAGCACACGTCTTGTCTCCACAGACAAACGATCTCCTCATATTCGGAAACACCTCCGAGTCCAAAAAAGCTTTCCGATACGCGCCCAGAATCTGTTTCGAGAAAAAGAACAAGAACGGCAGATCCGTCGCTGCATCCTCCCCATAGCGCTGAATCTCCAGAGGCACACCGTTGAAGAATGTGGGCGCACGAGAAGGGGAGGCCAAAACCCAGGACAGCTTGTCAAGGTCACGCCCCACGATGTCGGTATGGTCAAAATAAGACGTGCACCACTGCACGAACGCGGCTAGGCGGAGGTTCTCCGGAACCGTGTTGTCTACGAGGAACGTCCAGTTCTGCTTAAGGGTGGGTAACCCTAGTGCGGTTGGGGCGGGTTCTGTCGCGGATTAGAGTTTGAGTAGGGAAAGACAAGGCCGAGGCGTACCGTAAAGAATTAAGGAACGCATGTAGTCACTTAGACGACTGAGGACGTCCTGTGGAAGTGAATCGACGCTTGATATTGCCATAGGAGCAAAGGTCGCGCCGATAGACCATCCAAGGAATGCGACCCCACCACCGCTCGAGATCGACGGAAGCTTGAATTTCTGTATGAAGATATCAATGAAAATAGCAATTTCATGCCCTCGAGCCTCGACTAATGCCTCTCGCTGAGAATCGTCAGTACCTCCAGTTTCAGTGATTATGAGTTCCTCCACGGAGAGTAGCGTCGAACCAGGAAAGGGACGCCTATTCAGCGCGACAAAGCGCACGCCTTTGGATGGAGCGAGATCTATCACTCGCTGGAAAATCTCTGGAAATGTGCCATAGGGGGAATGCTCAAAAAGAGAACAGGACGGTACTGACCCTTGGTAAAGATCATACCATGAATGGCAAAGATAGTGATGTACGACGGCTGGGCAGGCGCGCCGCTGTCAATGTAGGATAGCTCGACGCCGGCCGATGTATTAACTACGAGAGTGTTTAGTATCATGATATGGTGAGGATTACTGATAGGATTGAACAGACCGCCCATAATATATTATCAGCCTGGTGAAAATATGGACCCAGAGTGAAATTCTATTTGATGGTGAGAAGGCGGCAATCACGCTGGACCTTCTGACCGCGTGATGGCGGGCGCTGTCGTCGAATTTTGCATACGGTCCAAATCGTCGGAGACGCCAAAAGTACGCCTGTCATCGCCAAAGAATAAACCTCCGGCTATGTAGGTATTGAGAGGTGTGTTTGACTCTCCAGTAAAACTTACTGCGATGGATAGGCAGATAATAGCCGTCCCGAGATGGCCACTTGCTGAATAGCCGCTCGGGCATATCGCTATAGGGTTCAACTAAATGCTGAAAGGAAATAGAGAAGGTGCAATAGAACATCAAGATTCCGGGTGTGGCTAGAGTTGGGAAGGGCATGGTAAGAGTAATGGATGAGTACAGCATGAGGAGCTATATCATGACAGATCAAACCAACGTTCAAAGTTAGAAGCTCGGGATTCTCATGGGTGCTGGGGTAAATCAAGGAAAGGAGCTATTGCCGCAGTTGATGCAGACTACTCTTCCATTCCTCCAGGATCACAGGCAATGTTCTTCCTCAACCACGACGTTTCAGTAAGCCAGAATTGACAAAAAGTTTGGGCATTAAAGCAGAAAGCAGTCTGTCTAGATAGGCAACTGAAAGAGGCTGAAGTTTTCTCCGTGTAACTCTTGCGGGAATCTGAGATCACTGAGCGATGTAATAAGTATCCGCGCACAAGGGCAAGACATCTGTGCGATGAATGATATCGATTAGACAGCGCCTTCATCACCAATGTGATATAGCTTCCAAGGGGATTATAAACTGCGTTCTGTAATATCATGCAGCATGATTTATATGGTCCAATTATAAATAGAAGGATATCAAAAACTGACATCTAGATTAACAACTTTTCTCATACAAGATTCATGAACGCCTCCAAACCCAACGATATACGATCTAGCCATCCAAGGTCCTGCACCTCTACAAAGACAAAATGCACCGAAATAAATTTCGAGACAGTGACGCGTATAGCCTGTATAGGTACCATCAAGATGCGGCCACAGTCTAAGATAAAAGGCATACCTGATTTATTTTTACTCTTTCTTCATCATACTGGAACTTGAAATGTTTTCTACTCAGCCGAGTTCACGGTCGAGAGCCATCCAAAGCAGTACCATCAGTTCGGATTATCGAGCGAATAGGTGGCTGGCTGATCCTAGGTTGCAAACGAATAAACATGAATCAAAGAGAAGGAGAAAAAGGCATGCGTTCACCTATATATATAAAATAGCCACGCTGAACAAAAGTGACAGGGCACAAAATATCCAATATCCGAGCTATGCATGGTTGGTATCGTACATACGAAGGGTCCGTCCAAGCAAGAAAAGAGCCATCGAGGGTTCTGAGCAAGTCCTGAGTACTTTATTCAAGTCATGTAGCGACGGAGTAACAGATCCATACTACAGCTTGACGTCTGAATCTGCAGTGTTACATATAACACGTGCTGTATATGCACGAAGTACGCGCAGGGATAGGGGTACAGTAGGAGAGGCAGTCCAGGTAGGTCCTGGCAAGAGGAAAGATAGGCCATAACTTTGATTCATGTTTGCCTTCGCCTTCCCGTGTCGCATGTAGCCGCCGGCTCTCCAGGCGCCTTCGCTCAACTTTCGTTTTCACCCCATACATAGCAATGGTTCCTGTTTCTCCATCCACTTCATTGGTATAAAGCTCCATTATAACGCCCAAGCCTTCCGCAGGCTTAAAGCACGGCAATTTGGCCCGACCCATGGCAGCGGTAACAAATTAAAGCTTCTCAAGCTCAACTCAAGTTTCAGTTTCTTACGGACCAGGCTCAACAAAAATCTACACGAATCAGTTTTCTATTACTAACTCAAAGCTTCCAGTCTAAGAAAGTGACGCGCGTTCATATCACCTAATAGAGTACACTGTTAGCTATAATGTAGACCTCATACAGCGTAGCGATAAGCAGAAACGCGGTGAGGGTGCTCGACGGACCGTATTCAATATATATAGTCCATCCCGACATAAGGGGGTATCGAGCTCGGCCGGCGGGATACGACGGAGCTCCTGCTTGCTAATCCAACATCCAGTTCTGCGAACATCCAGGACTTGCACATCGTATGGTACGTGACATGGGATATCCGTGACCTCACTGCATTGTCTTGGTGTTTCATTTGCTGCGCACAATAAAGTTTTTGAACTTCGCTGAACGCCACTCTCGAAATGCTGCAATATGGCACCTTTTAGGACAGTCTGGGCCAGTCGAAGCACAAGCGTTGGAAATTTGACAAAGGAGCAATCTTTGTCTTTATCATTGTCCGTGCCCTATATATTAGCGCTGAACTTTCACAGCGCTCATGTTCTTCCACCTTTGCCAGTATTTTCATTTCTACGAGGTATCCCATCGGTTATAAGCCTCCATATTCCTGCTGAATCCGTATCACCTTCCAGGAGCCGACCTTGATATCATGACCAGCGAAATTTCTTGTTCGATCTGTGGATCTAAAGGCGAATGTGAGGTGAACCATGGAATAAAAATGCCCCAGCTAACGATGGTTAGGCCCTCAAAAGGAGCAAATACGTGTTAAAGAACCTTCCGAGCGGGAACCAATCCAGAACTTTGGCGATTTACCTGCAAATGTCCTAAGGAAGATCTTCCTCCTCCTCCTGGATGAAAACGGGTTTAACTTCAGCGACATCATACAAGGACCGTGGGTATTTACATACGTATGCAGCTCCTGGAGAGCCGTTGCTCTTACCTATCCTTGCTTATGGTCCAATATCATTGTCGACCATTCCTCATTCCGCGCACATAAGAGTCACATCGTCTGGGCTCCGATGTACTTGAAGCAACCCTTTCCTCATTCCATCATTCATGACCCTCTCTCCCTGCTCTCTACCGTCCTCTCACGGGCTGGCGCCCATGACCTCTCCTTACACGTGGACTTCTCGAAAGGATATATCAACCCATACGAACGATTTATCATGCGGTTGCTTCTCTTGCGATTATCCCAAAAATCAAACCAGTGGAGTATTGTCTTCCTCCATTTACCACGCAACATGGTAGACGGCCTTTTTGGTATTTACCGCCAGCTTCCGAAGCTCATAAGCCTGCATCTCGCGATAAGCACATGCGAAGAGGCGTGGAAAGATGACATGATCACGGCGTTTGAGACAGCGCCGATGTTGGTGTTCGTTACATTGCAAGGACTGTCGTTCACCACCTGGATCTTGCTTCCATGGCGGCAGCTTGTGTATTTCTACGACGACCGAAATTCACAATATATTTAGATTCCAGGTGACGCCGGTAGACAAGGAAGAATGGATCCTGTATCCCGTGAAATAAACAAATATCATGTTTTAGCGAGAGACATTTCCCGTCGTTAGCAAGACAGTCTGATGATGGTAGGAACTGAATACTGATGCCCCCTCTTTCACTTTTACCACCACCACCACTGGGACGCTTACCGTATTGTCTGAAATGTATTTTGTTCGTAAAGATGGAAGAAGGCGAAATGTGCAAAGGTTACTTCCCTACCAGTGTGTATTTTAACACTCCAATGCATCCTTCCAGAAACCCAAAGTGAAATCGAGTCTAATGTCCGCACTGCCATCTGATGTAATGAAGGTCTCATACGTCTCCTACATTCTGGGCAAGTAGGCCTAGAGAAAAGAAACGAAGCTGATGTCACAGCCTCGGATTGCGAGCCTTCCACCAAAATTGCTTAGCGAAATATTCGCTCTCGCATTAGGAAATGATTTTTTCAATCCGTCACATACCCAGACCGGTCCGTGGGCACTCAGCTACGTATGTCGTTCATGGAGATCTGCGGCATGTAGTGATTCTGCGCTCTGGACGTCTATCATTATCGATGACAGCTCTGTCCATTGATATGCAGGCTACATGTCCAGCCCTATAATTTGCAAATTCTGCATAACACACTAGAATATGCTAGTAACTGAGAATCATTAGCCAGTAAAGGACTATGGCTGAGGCTCC